GATCACATGCCCCATGTGTTCATTGTTTTATTTGTATTGGAAAATTGAGGATGGAAATGGGTTGTGCAACTGGGCCCAACATCTTGGGCGTTGCCCACTAAATTTGGCTTAAGGGGTGGCTCGGGCTTGAAATCTCGGCTTGATGACCAGGGCAAGTCTCTGGGTCCTAGACTGGCCCAGGATAGCTTTGCTAAACCTGTCGACACTCCTATAGAAAACATAACATGATCCCGTTAGATTTGGTGATATTCAAAATCACCTCAAAAAAATCCTATACTATTAGGATTGGTGTTCATATTGATGAATTTCTATATTTATTGGGTTTTTTATAGAATTAAATAATTTTAATTATGTAGGAAGTTATTTTTTGGATAAGTTCCATATAGTTTAGGATAAACTTGAGCACCAAAAATAACTAGAGTTAAAGTTTTCCATAAAGTAAAAAAAATATAGGAGTAGCCTCTCACATAACACTTTGTGGGCATGTGCTTTGCTCTTCTTTTATAAGTTATTGTAGAGAGAGAAAATGTGCCCCTATTTAGGTCACCTTATGGGAAATTTGGTTTTCTTTTAAAGAGAGATTGTGGCTTCTTGGGCAGAGAAAGAGGAGCCTCTAAATAGAGAAGTGAGCTTGATTGTGGCCTCTTGGGCAGAGAGATGAGCCTATAAATAGAGAAGTGAGCTTCTAGTGAAAGAAACAGTTGCTCATACCTCTTATAGAGAGAGGGGTTTGTTTCTTGTAGAGAAGTCGTTCCCGTAAAGATTTTTTGTGGTATTCCCTTTGTAGAGAAAAAAACGGCTTTTCGTTGCTCTCGCATCTTTATCTGGTGTTATCGATAATGATGGTCAGAAGTAAAGATAAAGAAGAATAACATGTGGTATCGATCGGTATGGTAGTTTAAAATATTATTTGATAGAGTTTTGTCTATTGTTAATATAATACTTTATGTATCAAAAAATCTATGGTGTAACTCTCATTGATATAGTGCATTTCAGTTTGTCATGCCTGTGAATGTAGTCATATCTGTGACGAACCACATAAATTATGGTGTTCTTTTTATATTATTTATTTTCTGATGTACCTTTTTGGCTTGTTGTCTGTTTGATGCCGGTTTAATTTTTTTCACACTTTATTTCCAAAATCAACCCATCGGATTTTAGAGCTTCGGCACACATAAGATCCAACTTATTAGAACATGACACTCCAAACTATACTCTCCATGTGATCAACTACACCAAAGAGAAGACTTCTTACCTGCACCTGGAAACAAAAATTGCATGAATGTTTTGGTAATTTCCTTTCGTCATGTGCAATGGCCAAAGATTTTTGAATGGCCAAAGATTTTTGAAACCTAATCTAAACTACGAAAAAGGTATTCAAAATCTCGTTTAAAATAGAAAATCCACATGGTCACAATGACAACAATGGTCCATTGAACCATCACTGTCCAATTAATTGGTTGGACGATCATCATTATCATTTTAGTATTTTTCCAATTAATTAGAACAATAATGTCTGAAATGTTTATGCTATACTGCCTTGAAAAAAAAAAAGAAAAAAAAGAGAAAAATAAAACAGAACTCCCTCATGTGGTTACATACCAAGAGGAAATGGTTAAAGCAAGAGAGATATGATACTCAGTTTAACTTTAGTTTTTCACAACTTTAATTATACTAAAACCTATTTTCACCTCTTATTATCAGATTTAAAACTGAAAAAAACGTATAGATTGAGGAGTTTATGAACACTTGAAAAGCTTGAAAATGGACAGTCCTAGGAGTATGTAACAAGATGCATTATTTTTAAGACATGCTATTATTTATTTATTTTTGTCATATCTGTACATCGTGAAGTGATTAATTAGAGGATTTTTAGAAAAAAAAAGTTTATATAGAGTTGAGGCTCTAAACAATCAAATTAAACTCCACCTACAAAATTTCACCAGAAGATGTTGTTTTGATGTCCAAATATCCTCAAATTAATCATCTCGACATCAACATGCATGAACATGAGAAAAAAATTAGATTTCAAGTTTTGGAAATAACGCATCTTGTAACTTTACTTAATTTCAATCTCTTCTAACTTTCTGTATGACATGAAAATAGCCCTTGAAAATGTAGCTTTTTATTTTTGTTCCTTGAAGCGATCTTTTTTATAGTGAGAGCTTCTTTTAAGAAGATCAGTGTTACCAAGAGCATAGGAAGAAATAAGATGGGTGTGGTTTGTATAGAGCCGAGGCTCTAAACAATCAAAGTAAAGCGTACATTCAAATAACGTCGAGAAATAAGGTTTCAATATTGTAAATCTTTGAGATATCTTTATAATTATTTTTATCTTTAATTATAAAATTTAAAGATTAAAAAAATTGTGTAAATTGAGCAGATCTATGAAAACTTGAAAATCTTAAAAATTGACGGTTAAAAAATGTGCTAAAAGATACACTATTTCTAAAACTTGAATCTATTTTTTTCTCATGTTTATGCATCTTGATGTCGAGGTGATCAATTTAATAATATTTGGGTATCAAAACAACCTCTTCTATTGAATTTTTTTATGTGGGCTCTAATTGAATTATTTAGACCCTCGGCTATAATAAATGTTTTCCGATAAGGATAATATATTTCTAAATTTTAAACTAGGTATATCCTTTTTAAAACTAAAAAAAAATATACAATAAAACCATTTACTTTTGGTGCAATATGGCTACAATCACCATTTGTCTAGCACATGTAAAATCCAACGGCCTGGGGTGTGCCACATAATGCATCAAATTTCTGAATTTTTTTTGTCAGATTTCCAACCAAAAAATAAAATAAAAATACTCTAGGCACCTTTATTTCACATATGATGGTTAAAAAACATTCTATAAACAAGTAGAAATTGTGATGTTATAAAATCTATTTAAAGTTGGTCCCACAATTGTCCAACTATGCTCTATGGGGCTGAATGTTGAGTAGTCAAAAAATAATATATCCATAGAATGAGTGTAATGGAGATGATGATGATGAGATGGATGAGTGACAAGACAATAAGGGATAGAATTTAAAATGAATATATTCGAAAAAATTACATGTGGTACCAATAGGTGATAAGATGAGAGATAATAGACATAAGTGGGTTGGCCACTTGTTAAAAGTAGGGGTGAGAATGGACCTGGACCCAACACGAGCCTCGTCGGCTATACCCGACACAGTTTGGATATGAGTTTAGTATTTGAACCCGACGGGTTGGATCTGAGTCCAAAACATGGGTCCGAATACTATACGGGTCGGGGTCTGGGTCAAACTGGACCCGACCAATACTCATAAACTGTTAAAGATAAAATAGTTAACTTTAAACCCTGTTCATTTGGATGTATTAAGGATTGTATATAATTAGAACTAGTAGTCATCTATTAAATGACAAATCACACGCCTTGAACTCTAATAGCGGGTGATGCTTACCTTGTTGTCAATAATATAAGTATATGATGGTAAAAAAAAAGGGCAAAAAAGAAAAAAAAAGAAGCTTATAGTGAGGGTGAAAATGGACCCGAGACCTGATGGGGTAGACTCGAGACCTGACAGGTACGGGTATGAGTCTAATTTTTGACCCAACGGTTCGGTTCCGGGTCTAAAACCTCAAACCAAATCTATTTAGGTTTGGGTCTGGGTCCGAGTCCAGTTGGACTTGATCCATACCTTACCCGTTGCCACCTCTAGTTGGGAGGTGCGAGTTAGTTCAAATAGAAGGCTAAAAAAAGGTAAAAGGTAAATCCAAAACGATATAGTTGGAAGTAGTGAGAAAATGTAAATGAACTTATGGCTTCACTGAGAGTATGACCCTTAATAGAGCAAAATTTCATATTATGATTCGTTTAGCCGACCTCATTTAGTTGGAAAAAGGTTTTAAAGAAAATGGTGATGATAGAATCTATTTAAAATTATATTTGGATCAAAAAGAGCATAGGGAAGTGAAGTAACCGGCTATGCATTTGCTTCTCTACTAGGCCTCCCACATAATTAGAGCAGATTTTGGACTGCCCATTTCGACCGCTTGAACTACTGATTTGTACTTTGCCTAGTTCGCTCCAAAATAAAAATTGATTGTTGAGTTTGTTAAAAAATCAACTAATGTTTTACTAGTTTTGGCACATAAGATCAATTGATTTTGAGCAATCAAACCGGTTAAACAATGTTAATACTTTTAGGGTGCGGTTTGTATAGAGCCTAGGCTCTAAACAATCAAATTAGAGCCTACCTTCAAATAGTGTCAAGAAATGTGGTTTCAATACTAGAAATCTTTGTGATAGCCTTAAATGTATGTTCATCTTTATAAATAAAGTTTTAAGCTTCAAAAATTATGGAGATCGACGGATCTATGAAAACTTGAAATTCTTGAAAATTGACGAAATACACTATTTCCAAAACTTGAAATCCATTTTTTTTCATGTCCATGCATCTTGATGTTGAGATGATCAATTTGAAGATATTTCGACATCAAAACAACCTCTTCTAGTGAAATTTTTGAGGTAGGCTCTAGTTTGATTGTATAGATCCTCGGCTCTATATAAAGTGGTTTTCATATAGTTGCAACATTAAACAAGCACTTCCAAATTTTATTATAATATATAATTTTGGGGTAAAAATTCTTAAGATTATCTCAAAAGCTATTTATAAAATTTTAAATTACAAAAATACTTAAAATCAAGTAGATCTATAAACTTATGAAAATGGACTACTTAGATAATGTGTTGTGGTGTATTGTTTCTGAGACTCAAAATCTTTTTTTTTCTTTCATATTTGTACTATACATCTGGATACAATGATTAATTAGAGGGCTTTTCAACATTAAAACAACCATTTTCAATGGATTTTTGTTCAACATCTTTAATTCTAGTTGCAACCTTATATAAACTTTTTCCAATTTTTAATGCACTTTATTTTTTATTTTTTATTTCCTTTTTCCTGAAAATCCAAACCTAACTGATTTTAGATACAAAACTTCAAATATAAGGCGGGCCAAACCGTGATTCCACAAAGCTTTAGGGAGTGAGGTTTTTCCCGCGTCTGAGCTCAGTGAAGCCATGGAGGAGGGCCACAGTCGTCCATGGCGTCTCAGAAGCCGTGAATATTTCGGCGAAATCTCGGCGTTATGCCTTCTGAATTCTTCTTTTCCCCTACTCTTGGCTGGTACCATTTTCCCTTCAGTCTCTGATAATATCTTCTTTATCTCACGTTCTACTGATAAAAATCACTCATTCTTTAACTGCATAAATTTTTCTTAATTTTGCGTTGTATTCGATGACTGGTTCATGAATAGCCCAGGGATTTATCGCACTATCCTTGCTGCTGAATACAGTTTATCTTTCTCCAATGACGGTTGAATCATAGCTCAAAGAATAATGGATTCTCTGATACTTATTAGGGTTCCTTGTTATTGATATTGGGTTCAGAGGTTTAGTTTAGGCAAATCAGCAAATTTTGGTTCCTTGTGATTGATTCTTGAATAATTCTTTTGCTGACTGGTTCCAGTACCTGTATTGTAGTCTCTGATAGTTTCCTTTCATTCCAATGTCTGGTTGATTGTTACATGAATATTAGAACTCGTGCTATTACTCAAATAATGTTAGATTGCCGGAGAGAGTCATCAACGGTTTACAGGAAAATTGTGTCTTTCAAATCATTTTAAGGTTTTGTATTTTGATAATGTATATAGGCTTCAGTTATAGTGAATGTTGTTTGTTTGTTATTCTGAATATTTCTTCTGCTGAGTAGGGTCACTTTTTTTTTTTTTGGGTAATTCAGTGGGGAAGACAGGCCCCTACATGCTTTTCCATATAGATTAGGAAGTTAGCTTTTTTAAGGTGTCAGTGGGTGGTGTCAGCAGGATTGGAAAATGTGGTAACTAGGTATGGGGGTGCTACTACCACGACCCTGCCCCTTTCGGACTAGCAGTGTCACTGTTGGTATTGTAATCGCTTATTTCTTCCTATTGGTTTGTCGTTGATTGTTCAGGAACTGGGCCTCAGATCCTGCTTTATGACGTGGAAAATGGGGAGCTTTTGAACTCTTTCTTTGTCTTTGATGGAATCCGAGTGCATGGCATATCGGCTAGTTTACTTGACCTAGATCATGAGAAATCATCTTCAAAGAATCCTGTGAAAATTGCTGTGTATGGTGAGAGAAAGGTGAAGGTTTTCAGCTTGTGTATTAGTGGAAAGTTTCACCCTGAAAGTGATACAAAAGCATGTATTGATTTGATCCTTGTCCACTCATTGCCAAGGTTTAATCACTGGGTCATGGATATTTGCTTCTTGAAGGTACTTAAGTGAAAATTTGTCTCATTCCTGCTTGTCCACCATTCATTTATTGGGTTTTTCTTTTATTTTTGTGGTTTATTGGCTGTCTTATGCACTGGCATGGACTGGCTGGGGATTGACAGGGAATCAATGAAGGAACTGGGCAGGTACTTACACTTGGTGATCATGATAAAAGCAATCATCTTGTAATAGGACTTAGCGACAATTCTTTGTGTCTATGGCATATCTCGAGATCAAAATTATTGTTTGATTTGAAGTCTCCAGGTGAATTTTCTGCACATACAAATTTGACATAATTGCATATATATGTATGATTGTGTTGAACTGGTTTTGCATCTCTTACAAATATATTTAACTTCACCATTGCTGGTAGTTTGTATGACTTTCATTACTGTATTTAACTTCTTTGGTACATTTATTGTATGTAGAGAGGTGCCTTTTGTATGCTATGCGAATATGGGGTGACGATATTCCATCTCTTCATGTGGCATCTGGTACTATTTACAATGAGGTGAGCATATAGTCTTGAAGTGAAGGTTCCATTTTAATAAAAAAAACCAATAACAATGGAAAAAAAGAAGAAGAAAATTAGTGATAACTGTGACCTCTAATACACAGTTTGTGCTTTGGACAATCCTTCATATCTCATGAATGGGAAATTCTCGTGGATCATTGCTTGGATATAATTCTCTTGATTGTGAACTATTTTCTAGTGGCATACTTCAATATGGGCTTGACTACATTTTCTGGCTGGATTGGCTTGGACTGGAATCTCCACTTTTTGTCAGGGGCCACCTTGCCCTCTGGATAGTCCCATTTAATCGTTTTGAACTTTTGTTGGTTCAGGTCACGTATTAGGATAGTCTATCTGATAAATGGACTTTCATGATTTCTAAAGTAATATTCTTTGGAAGGAAGGCTGTAGGATTGCCTGTTACTATCTATCATGTTTGAAGGACACAGTATTGGGGCCAATATACTTCCATAACCCAAAGATATATATATTTATTCTTTAATAATGCCAAATGGACTTCCTATTGTCCTCTTGTTCTTGTCTCATATCTTAATTTTCTTTTTTTTTTTTACTTAAGCTATCAAGGAATTTTGTTTTATGAATTAAGTCAATTACCTCTGACTTTGATATTTTCTTGTTGTGAGAGAGAGAGTTTTGACTCTTTGTAGTTATCTTTTCTTTCTTTATAATTAAAAGTGGCCTGTTGCAGATTCTTATATGGAAGATTGCTTCTCAAGGGGCTGAGCCCTTAACTTATATTGAGGAAGACTGTTATGATGGCGTGGCCACGCTAGCCAAAAATAGTGCATTCCATGATCAGCCATATGCTGCTATACATTTGAATCGGCTTACTGGGCATGCAGGATCAATATTTCGCTTAGCATGGTCTTCTGATGGATTGAAACTAATCTCTGTTTCTGATGATCGTAGGTCAGTATGTAGCTTGCGTTATTCTCCACTATCTTCTCTTTGTCTGGGAATGTTTACTGCATCGCTGATGCTATTAGATATTAAATGAGTTGTTCAACTTTTTTGGTTATAGGATCTAGCTTGTAGTTATTTTTGAGATTCATCTGAGATTAATTATATTGTGACAGTGCTCGTATCTGGACAGTTAAAGCTCAAAAGGATGAGTTCAGTGACCCATGGGATGTTCCTATTTCTGATGTGTCAGTTGGGCCCATACTGTTTGGTCACAATGCTCGAGTTTGGGATTGTTATATATCTGAATCGGTAAGCTCTAAGTTCGCTTTCATTAAGAAAAAAAAAGAAGCTTTAAGTTTTTCAATTGATGGTATTTGGATGCACCAGTTATCACATGGATGCTTGGATCATTTTATGTGAGTATGTGAAAGTTTACTTGAGCATTTTTTCTTTGACTAGAAGTGGTCTTTTTTCTGTTTCCCTTTAATGAGAAAGCTTCTCAAGTTTCTCTGCTTTGCCTCACATCAAAGCACCCTGAGCCAATAGTTTAGCAGGTAGGGTAAAGCACTCAATCTTTGCTTTACTTTTTTCAAGAAATAAGTAGATTTTATCAATCAATCTTGAGGTATTTGATTCTAGTTGAGGATGCCCTGACCATTACTGGTGGTTCCATCAACAGACTCTACCCTCTCTCACCTATTGTATTGTCCATTTAATGTGCAGACCTCTGTTTTAAGTCTGTTGGATAAAATGGTTATTGTTATGCATTTATAGAAGATCTGTGTACAAACCATTGTTGTAAGGGCTGGACTGATCTGCATCGTTTGGCCTGACTGGATTGAAACTTGTGTAATTATTGGCCTGATCCCTTATATAAACAAAATAGCTGGAATCGGAGTTCAACCAATCCAATCTATTTGTTAATCTTGAGCAGTTCCTGTTGACCTGGTCTGGCCTACCCTGTGGCTATTTCACTTTCCTAAAATACATCCATTACTATTACAACTTTTGAACTATCATTTTGTACTCTTTATTGTTATTTTACAGCGCTATCCATCTTCTCTATACAATCCTTTCTTTGGTAAATAAAGGGACTTTTGGAAATAGGAGACATGCCTAGTCTTACACATTTTCTTCTCTCTAAGTAGTAATACATAGAGTTTCATTTTTTTATCTTTAATTGTGATTCAACTTTTTATTGTTGTTACGTATTTTATTGGAGCGACGAGTTAGCATTCAGTTCTCGACTGATTCAGTTTTTCTTTGATGAGGCTTTCTTGTAGATAATTATCACTTGTGGTGAAGACTGCACATGTCGTGTCTGGGGAATAGATGGGAACCAGCTTTTAATGTTTGAGGAGCATGTGTGAGTTGTAATTATTACGCAATAGTTTTAGCCATGCAGTACTGGAGTAGCTTTAAATAAAATGTATTTATTTCCTGCGGGGCCCCTGTAACCTCAATATATGGGCTAGCTGATAGTTCTTACTAGTTTGTTAGTGATTTCCTGTACTAGTTTATCACATCTGAAATATTTTTATACTAATGCAGTGGGAGAGGCATTTGGCGTTGTGTGTATGATCCAACATCTTTCCTTCTAATCACTGCTGGGTTTGATTCTGCAATCAAGGTGCATTACTTAAATGCATTGGATTTGAGCGACAATTTGCATCCAAATGGCATTGTAAAAGACTTGGACAGTAGGAAAGAGATCTTCAGCATTTGCACTGAAAACGTTATCTCAAAAACTGACCATAAACTCATGGACAGGTATAATTATGTAAAACTTTTAGTATTGTTTACAAGTCATGCCTTCAGTTTTGGTCTTCGGAATGTTCTGTTTGTTATCATGACAAAAGCATTTGTTCAATATTGCTTGAAGAAAAAGTTTGGAAGTTCATGTACCTTTGACTATGCTAAGGAGTGTAAAATAAGAGGTTGGAGCTTGGAGCTCCGTGTTGAAGGTGGTTGTTAGGAGAATGCAGGTGTTGCAAGAGGGATCTAACGAAGAGGATGCCATAGGAGCCTAATGTTGGTATGTGACCGAGCATGGGGGAACTGCTGTTAGCTTGGGGTAGTGGTCGGAGGATTGGGTAGGATTTTTCTGTAAGTTTTCTAGGTTAATCTAATTCAAAAAGGTTAAAAATCTCTCCATATGGGGGCTTATAATGATAGAAGTGTGCTGTAGCTTAGGAGCTGCTAGAGTTATGTGTCTCTATGTGTGTGCAATTTATGCTCTAGAATCTCAAGATTTTAAAATTAGCTGGACAATGACAGAGTATATGGAATGCAAGTTAAATAATAATAGGAGTAGAGATGAGGAAGTAGTTAAGATTGACGGCCAAGAAATATAAAAAAGAGCATACATTCGATATCTTGAGTCGATAATCCAAGAAAATAGAAATATTGAGGAAGATGTCACACATAGAATTAGATCTGGATGAGCAAGGTGGAGATGTGCAACCGGAGTTTTATGTGATCGCTACATGCCAATGAAGCTGAAGAGGGAGTTCTATAAGGCAATTATGAAACCAGCTTTGCTTTCTACGGCGAATGTTGGGCAAACTATATACTCATAGCATAAGTGTAGCTGAGATGAGGATATTGAGATGGATGAGTGGCAAGACAAGAAGGGTTATAATTCAAAATAAATACATTTGGGAGAACTTAGGCGTGGCTCCAATAGGTGATAAGATAAAAGAAAGTATACTTAGGTGGCTGGCCATGTGCAGTGCAGACCTAGTACAACACCTGTTAGGAGGTGCGAGTTAGTTCAAGTGCAAGGCTCAAAAAAGGCAAGGGGTAGGCCCAAAAGAACATGGTTGGAAGTAGTGAGAAAAGATACGGTGACTTATAGCCTCACTGAGGGTATGGCCCTTGATAGAGGAGGATGGCAGACCAAGATTCGTGTAGTCGACCGCAAATAGTTGGAAAAAGGATCTGATGATGTGTGTGCAATTTCCTCTTGGGGGACTTTACCTCATTTGTATATTGTATTTTTTGGATTTGGTATTACATGCAACATTTATAGTGTTTTGGACATTTATATTGCATCTTCCCTCATTAACTACTGACAACAAATACATGACTTGAAATTGGAGTTCTTTGAATTGATTTTCCTTTCTGCAATGATCTGGAAGTCACTTGAGAAGCTTCAGGAGGAAATACAAATGAGCGCACACACACACACACACACACACACACAACAGAAACCTAGCAAACTTCTGCCGAAGTGAACTCTTAAGTTCTCCTAACTGTGGAGGCTTCCTACTCATTATAGTTCTGGGGTTTGCTATGCTACTGTCAATGATCATTCTTTAGTTCCTGACCAGGTCTTATGCCCTCTGATTTGTGCCCCAGGAGCTGCTGACATGCCTTTTGAGGTTTAATCTGTAAATTGGTAGAAGATACATTGCACTGTGAATGGGTTGCATTGTTACTGAGCCCTAGTCCGCCTTCATATTGAAAGTATTGTACTCACACTGAAACCTTTTTGGTTTGATCATTTCTGTATCTTGTGTTTTTTAAGGATTGTGATAATAAATAGAGCTTTTGGTAGGGTTGTATAATCTTTAGGGTTTTGCATGGGAAAATGTATACTTCATGCAATATCAGTCCCTTATAAGGAATTTCTAGTTTGCCACGGCACAACTTAATTTTGCTGCATTTAAATGTGTTGAATTTTTTTATTTACCTTATCCGGCACTTTACATTGTACTAAGTACAAATATTTTGGTACGATTCATATTTTTCTGTATATTAGCAGGTGAAAATTGTTTGTTTTCTGGTATTTATTGATTGAAGCACTGTTTTCAACAGCAATAGTGAATATGTACGATGTTTGCATTTTGCCCGCGAAGATATTCTTTATGTTGCCACTAATCAGGGCTCTTTATATCATGTTCAATTATCCATTCCTGGAGAGGAAAAGTGGACAGAAGTTGTTAAAGTCAATGTAGTGGCGTCCATTGTTTGTCTGGATCTGCTTCCTTTGAATTCCTCGAATCCCTCAAAACCTATTGAAGATTGGGTTGCTCTTGGTGATGGTAAAGGAAATGTTACAGTTGTCCAGATCACTTCTGGTTCATTTCCTGTTGAAGTAGCTCTCTTCTTTTCTTGGCAAGCAGAACAAGAGAGACAACTCCTCGGAGTTTATTGGTGCAAGTCATTAGGATATAGGTAAGATGAATTTTGATGACCTTAATGCTTCAGTAGGGTTCTAAGGAAATCAATTTTTTAGTCATTAACTGGTTTCTCCATTTTCACAGCCACCTGTTCACTGCAGACCCTAGAGGAAGATTAAAACTATGGAAGTTGGGGAGCACCTCTCCTGGCACTTGTGATGCATCGCACTCTCTTTATGGCAACTACTTTTTGGACCACAAGGTGCTCTTAGTTTCCAATTTTGCATCATGTTTTGGAAGACGAATCATGTGCCTCGATGCCTCCATTGAAGAAGAGGTAATTTCTTATTTCTTTATTGATTTTATTTGTGAAATTTTGGGAGCAATTAGATAGTCGTGGCTGCTTTGTTTATTATACTCGACTACTTATCTATTATGTGTATGTATATAATATCTCTGAAGGCAAGATGTTTCAGGTCGGTACCTAATTAAGATCTTACTGTAATATATGTTCTTCTCAATTCAGTTTAATTGTAAATTCTGTATTTCAAAATGTTTTCGGTTTGATACAGTTTGCATTGTATAGAGATTTGAATGATTTTATCAGCTTGCAAAAAGATGAGCCTTTTAGCATGGGGGAAGGTTATAATAGTGTGGAGATGAATGCTTTGACCATAGATTTTGTGAGCAGCTTGTTTTGCTTATAATGCAGCTTCTCTATAGGTGCTTGTTTGTGGTGATCAGCGTGGTAATCTTATCATATTCCCAATTCCAAAGAGCCTTTCAGTTGCTGAAAGTATTGAGTTGGAAGCAACAATCCCAGTGTTAACTCATTTTAAAGGCGCTCATGGTATATCTTGTGTGGCTAGTATTTCCATTTCCACATCAAGCTGCAACGAAGTTCAGATACGTTCGGTATGAGTATATTTTTTGTTCCAGTTATGTATTATGAAAGCAGTATTTAGAAAACACAGAATTGGGCAGGGAGCGGGTCTTAGTTGACTTGCTCAGTCTGAGTCTGACCGGTCAAGACTTGGACCAGAATAATTCGCATTTTTAAAGACTAGATAGACTGAGTTAGGACTCGAGCATACTTGGCCAAGACTCAGGTTACTCTAGGTGGGGTCATCTGGAACCGGCAGGGGAAACCAGCACCGCGCTGGTTCCAAGTGACTCATGCGAGTCCAAGTTCTACCGTTGGACTAGCCAAGTATTTAAATAATGTTCGAAAGGCTTGAGTCTCAATTTGTCTTACAAAGTCCTATATTTGCTGACACAGACAGGAAGGGATGGATGCATATGCTACTTTACATATAGAAATGAAGTTCAAGGGGAGCTGCCATTTTTGGAGTTCAGGGGAATGAAACAGGTGAAGGAAATTAGTGTGATTGAATCTGTGTGTGCCAAATCTGGGCTTGCAGAAGATCTCACCCAGGGTAGATATGCAGTGGGTTTTGCATCTGCAGATTTTATTATATGGGACTTGATTAATGAATTGAAGGTATTCTTGTGCTTTATTATTGTAATGTTTTCCACGAAAAGTGGTATTTGGTTGTCCACAACTATCTTATGATCCATTCATCGACAAGTAGTGCATTGTGTTGTAGATTTTACGGCTAACTTGTGGTGGATGGCGACGACCTCATTCTTATATATTGGGCAATATACCAGAAATTCAGAACTGCTTTGGTTTTCTAAAGGTCTGTAATGTTGTGTATTTTAAGCAGAATGGAATTATTTGCACATGATGGATCAGGATTAATGTAATTTATGGAGTGTTGCGGTAGTTCTCTCTGAGTTTGTTACTCTATAGTGCTCTTATGGCAGCTTGTCAAGAACCTCACTCATTCTGAATCTCTTTCTGATATGGTTGGATGAGAGAGAATTTCTCAAAAGCCTTTTCTCCTTTGGATTATGGAGATGTCATTGCTTATGAAACCAGCCCAATTGAGGGCCAAGGAGAACAGATAGACCTTCTCTTGTAAGAGTCATCCGAAATCATGGTTTCTTGTTGTTACAGTTTGTAAAGAAGTGTATGTGGAGAGCAGGCATTGTGGAATCATCAATAGAAATATAACTTTCTGTTTTCTGGAATAACTTTTATGGGGCTTCTGCATTTCAAATATTTGACAAGATTCATTCTTCATTCTTCATATGACTCTTTATACCATGCTTTATGTGTATTCGTATGTTTCTATGGGTGTACATGATCTTGTGTGTGTGTGTGTGTGTGTCTGTGTGTGTGTGTGTGTGTGTGTGTGTGTGTATATATATATATATATATAAGTAAGTCTACTTAACTAATAGTAGTAAGTAGTAGTCGACTACTAACTAAACTCGTAGTAGGTAAGGTTTAGTTTAGTTAGTTAACGTAAACT